GCAGATCACTAAGGCCAACTAGCCCTGGGGACCTCTGCTAAAAAAAAAGCTGAGCTCATAGCTCTTACTTAGGCATTGATATTAGAAAAGGGCAAGAAGCTATATATCTGTTCAGACTCTAAATACGCTTCTCTTGTGTTACATGCCCATGCACCAATCTGGAAAGAAAAAATTTGCTGGCTAATAAGGAATCATCTATAAAACACAAACAGGAAAATCTACAAGTCCTAGGGGCAGTCTATCTGCCCAAGCAGGTTGCAGTTATGCATTGTAAAGGACACTAAAGAGACATGTCTAAAGTCTCCTTGGGAAATCAAAAGGCTGATGGGGGGTAAGAAGGGCAGTCCTACATCCCCTCAAGACCTTAGCCTTATTCCCAGTTCCTAAGGAATTATTCTGGTCCTTCTTTAAGGGATCCAGTGACAAGCTATAAAAATCCATTTCAAGGGCTAGGGATTTATCTCAGTGGTTTCACCACCTGCCACGCAAACGCAAAGACCCAAGTTCGATCCCTGGTACCAAAAAAAAAAAATCCATTTCATGGGAAATGGTCACTAAAATTTTCACAGGACTAAGAAGAAAGCTATTCCTGAGAACCTCTGGAAGACTTGAGGCTCCTCTTCAGAAGCAAGACTCCAGTATTCCTCCAGGTGCAGATAAGTAGAGTCACTAATTGCCCTAATTCATCACAGTTTAAATGGGCACCTGTATTGAGGCTTTTGTTTGTAATTAGATCTAGTATGTGGGCACTCTTGCTAAGGGTATGGCTCTGAGGCTCTCAATTTTTCTAACCTCCATCTTTGTCATTCTTTGTTCTCCACAAGAAGTATGGAAATCTGATCTGCTCCTCATATTTGGATTTTACATCCCTAACATAACTTTCTCCCATGGAAAAGAAAGCTCAATTAGTCACTATTTTCTCATTGTCTTGATAGATTTTTCTTCAACCCAGCAATGATTCATAGCACCCCAAGGTAGTTGGTGAGTACATAATCCCCAGTAGATAGGCTCTACAGCCCTTCTAAGAGGAAGAAGCTATAGAAGACAGAGACCACTCCCTCAGAACCCCATAAAGAATTATGAGGATATGTGTCTCTCAAGGGGAAATGAGACAGACAATTAGGGAATGGCAAAGCTGGTGGGGGCAGTAGAGGTGACACATTAATTACACAATCCTAGGACATATGTGCAGAACAGTTTCCAAAGTCCTGTATGTGGACTCGAGCAAGAACTCAAGCAGGTTTTCAATAGGATGGCCTAGACCTGACATCAGCCTGAAGAGTGGATGATACAAAAGGCACAGTCCACACTGTTTGCCACTGTGTTCTCTCTTCCATGGATGGACTGCCCTCTCATTGTTGAGTGTACTTCTTTTCCTACTTTTACTTGCCCCAAACTCACTCTGCAGAACCTGCTACATTTCCTACCTTTCATAAAACTTTGTTATCATTAAAAAAAATCAATAGCATTCCAGTACACCAATAATGAAACCACTGAGAAGAAATTGGGGAAAAAATACTAATCACAACAGTTCCAAGAAAAATTAAATACCTAGGAATTAACCTAAGGAAATGAAATACTTCTATAATGAAAGCTACAATACTCTGAAAAAGAAAATAGATGAAGTCATCAGAAAATCCAAAGATATCCCCTATTTCTGGATAGGCAGAACCAATATAGTCAAAACTGTCATACTTCCAAAATTGAAACACAATTTTAACAAAATCCCAATGAAAATACCAACAGCATTCATCACAGAACTGGAGAAAACATTACTAAAATTCATATGGAACCAGAAGAAACCAAGAATAACAAAAGCAATTCTGGGTAACAAAAGCAAAATGAGAGACTTCACAATCATAGACTTGAAGTCAGAGTACAAAGCTACAGTGATAAAAACAGCATGGTACCAGGCAGAACAAAAACAGACATGAAAATAAATGAAACAAAATAGAAGATGCAGAAACAACTCCAAAGCACATTCACTTATAAGATCTTTGATAAAGGTGCCTAAAACATACATAGGAGGAAAGAAAACCTCTGTAATAAATGGTACTGGGAAAAGTGGCTAACCACATGCAGAAGATTGGATCTAGACCCATATATCTCAACACATAATAAACTAAAATCAAAATGGGTCAAAGAACCAAATGTAGAAACACAATCTGCTGGAAGATAAAATAGGTAAAACTCTTGAAGTCATAGGCATAGACAAGGACTTTTTGAACAGAATTCCAATTGCACAGGAAAGAGTACCAAGTATCAACCAGTGGGTTCATATCAAATCATATCAAATTAAAAAGTTTTTTCATGGCAAAAGAAATAACCAATAAAGTGAAAAGACAAATGGGGAAAAATTGGCAGGAATTCCTCAAAGAGAAGACTAATATTTAGGATATATAAAAAACTAAAAAAAAATAGACCCCCTAAAATAAAGGACCCAATTAAAAATGGGCGAGTGAAATAAATGGATGCTTCACAAAAGAAAAATACAAATGGCCAACAAATACATGAAGAAATGTTCAACATCTCTGGCTATTAGAGAAATGCAAATTAAAACAACACTGAGATTCCATCTTACCCCAGGAAGAAAAGCCACTATCAAGAAATCAAATAATAACAAATGTTGGCAAAGGTGTGGCTGTGGGGAAAATAGAACCTTTCTGCATTGTTGGTGGGAATGTAAACTAGAACAACCATTATGGAAACCATTATCGAGAGTCCTCAAAAAACTAAAAATAGAAACTACATTCAACCCAGCTATTCCCCCCAAAAGCGTTAAAGACATATTACAATGACACCAACATACCCATGTTTATAGCAGCACATTTTATAATAGCTAAATTTTGGAAGCAGCCTATATGTCCATCAACAAATGGATTTTAAAAAACACAACAAAGTACAGTAGTACTGTGCTATGAAAAGGGCTAAACCTGAGACATTTGTAGGAAAATGAATGCACTTTAAGACCATAATATTAAGTGAAATAAGTCAGGTGCACAAGGTTAAAGACTGCATGGTTTCTCTTACATGAAAAACTCAAAATATAAATAAAGACCAGAGTAAAAATTATAGGAGATAGATCTTCCCAAAAGAGAAGGGCTCAAGAAATGGAGAGAGTTGGGAAGAAGGGGGCAGGAAGTGGTTGATAAAAGAAACCAGGTGTGATAAGGACATGTAACAACTCCCCAGGAGGAATGGAATTGGTATGTACAAAAAACATGTACTGATAAAAAAATAAAAATTGAAAAAAAATAATTTAAAAATAAAATGCCATTGTGAATTACAATTTTTTTGTTCCCATGTCTGTCTCCCTTACTAGCCTGAGCCTCAAAAAAGTAACTCCGTTTTTTAACTCTAACCTCTGTTCCTTGCACAGTCTCTGGCATATAATTAACTTATAATAATTGTTCATTTAATGAAAAACCAAATCAGTAAATGATTAGAAAATAAGGATAAACAGAGTCATGTATTAATAGCTTGAATTCCTAAGTCTGTAATTATAAAACCATGCATCACTTAACAGGGGTACATTCTGAGAGTCATGTTATTTCCTCATTGTGTACACTTCATAAAGAGCACTTACACAAGTCTAGATGGTACCGCCTGCTCCCTTCCTAGGCTATAGGGTATTCCTGCTATTCTATTCATGTTCTGCCATTAACCAAGACATTGTTACGCAGCAAATGACCACATACACCAGTAGTTTTGCATTGATCTAATTTCTGTATGCCTCATCCATTCAATTAATATTTCTTGAATGCTAAGAGCCACATTTTCTAAATTCTAAGATACTCATTTTTTCACATTTAGCTTCTCTGAAGTCAATGAAATAACAGTGCATACAATCAATGATTCAAAGAAATGCAGATTATGCCAGGCATCAGGCACTCTGAGGATTGACAAAATAGGGGGAAAGGCCTTGGTTCAGAGCTCCCTCAGTTTTTTTATCTGCACATAGAAGGAAGACTGATCCAGCTGGACATTCCACCTTCCCTCTGCCAACTACACACATCTTCATACTTCTCGTGGGATTCCCTCCCTTGGTTCCTACTGTCTCCACTGTGAAGGTCCCCAAGGAGCAGCTCCTTAACACTGACTTTAGCATGCCATCTGCTATCTGCCCCTGGCTAGAAATTCACAAGACTTCCCTTAACTTAGGGGGAAACAAGGACTTAAATAGGAAATGAAGAGTCTATGTACACAATCTGGCTTACAGAGAGGCTTCTCTCCACCCCTGCAGCCCCAAGGTTCCATGGATTGGCATGGTTATGAGGATACTTGGTTTCCACTTTTGATTCCATCTTCCCCTACAAGGAGTAAAATGATATCTCAGTTCACAAACACTTTTGTTTGTGAGCAATTTGGTTTGCAAACAAAAGTGTTTGGCAAAATTTTGTTTTGTCTCCAAACTCTGCATTGGGTGATGAACACAACTGCAGCCACCTTCCCCACGAACATGAAACATGGCCATCTTTTCCAGAGTTGTGGAAAGAATTAAGTTTGTGAACTAACGTACCATTTATACATCATCTTATCACCCACCACCCAGACATCTTGACTCCTTTCCAGTAAAATCCAAAGTGGCAGATTCCTACTCTATAGCTGACCCTGGGTTTGCTCTAGTTCTGTTTGCTGTATCCACAGAAGAGTCCACCCTTCAGGACAGCCCCTCACCCTGTATGGAGAGTACAGCTTTACCATTCCATAGTTAACTCCAGCTACTGCTTGTGTCACAGACGTGTGCCCAGTGTCTAGCACATAGTAGGAACTCAACATGTCCTTGTGACTCAGTAAGTTAACTGTATATCTTTAAAACCCAACACTGGAGGAATAACAAAAGGTACTATGTTTACTATGCACCTGATATTCTGATAAGCAGCCTATTTACAATGCCATTTTAATACTGACAACAATTCTTGAAGACAATAACTATTTTCACCCCATTTCACTGATGAAGAAATGAGTCCTAGATAGGTAAAGTAACTTGCTCCAGCAGATCATACAACTAGTAAGCAATACTGTTGGCACCAAATCATTTCCTTTTTCCCCAAAGCCTCTAGCCTTTCCCAGGATGCTCTATTGCCTTCTGACATTCCTCCAGTCCTCCAAATGCCTATTTGCCAGAAACTAAGGTAGTGGCTCTTGCCTACTGTGACTGCATTTGCAAAATGACCTTCTGTGCTCCAGGCCTCTCTCCAGCAAACCATCCATTTCTGTAACATTCACCAAGCTTCCCCTAGGAGAAAACTCAACCCTGCAGAAACAAGGGAGGCACAGCTTCCCCCAGCACAATTTCCCAGTTCGTGTTTTCCTAAGAAAGAGATTGTAATGAAAGAGCTCAGAGTCACAAATTTCCCCATATTACAGTCTTAAGTAATCTCTCTGTAATTGTTTCCACACCTGTAAATCAGGGAAGTTTAAGCCCTTGGACAGCTTCCCTGAAACTCAACCCATGAGTTACAAAAACTAGCAGAGGATTTTCTCTGAGGCAGATCCCTGCTCTTCCCCCCTCTGCCCTTTGTTCCTAAGTCATATGTACTATCTGCTGTGTCCTGGACTTCAAACCATTCAACTGGTACTTCTGAGCAGCAAAAAGTAATGTAACTGTAAAATGGAAAATATCATTTCTTTTTCTAATTTTTTTAAAGAAAAAAAAGGGCTACAATCTTCACTATGTCGATCATTTCCACACAGGCATTCATTTCATCTATGGAAACCCAAACAGGTTAGTAAACCTATCACTATTTCCTATTTAGGTGAGGTGAAAGTAATTTGCCCAAAGTCACAGAAACAGCAAATGAAGACCAGGATTTGAGCCCCAGCCTCAAATCCAACATTGAGCTTTGCTCTGCAAATCACCTGCGTGATTTCATTACTACTTAAGACAATCTTTGGGGCAGGGGGTAGTAGGAACCCTATCTCCTAGTTAAGGAAACTAAGGTTCTCAGAGATAAAGCTGGTTAGTTACACTACACACAGGCAAAGCACTGAGATTTCAAGTGAAGTCGATGAATGATGAGAGTTGGAACTCTGACTACATTTCATTCTTTTTCAGCAAAGATGAATATTCTAAAAGAAAAACAGCTGTTAGGGATATGAGAAGGTGGTCAAACAGAGAAATAAGGACATGGGCTGTGCACAGCCAAGAAAAAAAAATAATGGAGAGAAATTCAAGCTGCGCTGCATACCAAATCCTGAGGCATACCTAACATCCCAGCCCACAGAACTATTCAGAGGACTGAAATGGCCTGCCTCCCAAGCCCCTCATGACTGCACTGACTTTTCGTCTCTATTTATGATCAAAGACTGCTCTGTATGATAAATATTTATATGGTTCATTAAGTAAGGGCTTGTATAAATATTATTAGAAATCTGCCATGGGAAACCACCGATTTCACTGCTGATTCTTCAACAAACTGCCAACTGTTAAAATGCCATGTGAGAATGGAAACAAAACGTGGAAATTGAGGTTGTTCTTTGCAAAACTATTTCACCAATTACAAAGAGGAGGTAAATATAAACCTACCATTTATGGACTGTACTGTTGGTTTTCCCCTAAATAATTTAGTTGCAGTCAGATCATTTCCCAAGACTACAACCCTCCAGAGGGGAGTGAATGATGGGCTTACCTTACCTTCAATTTGGTTTCTTACAGAGCCACTTCTCCAGGATTGATTTGGTGGTGACAGTGTCTATAGAAACAGTGTCCCATGGATCAGAGAAGGAATGCAGTAACCTCTTTGAACTCTGTACTCTGCTAGGAGCTCATGTTATCAAGCCCCACACAATTTATTTATTATTTGGCTATACTGCAATCAGGGGTTGGCAAGAGTGGGAAGAGGAAGGTAAGCAATAAGTAAGCCTGTCCACTTCAGTCTCCCTAATAGAAAGGATTTAATACTACTTTAAATAAATCTCATGCTCTAAGATGGTGAGAAAATTTAGAATGGGGAGGAAAGAGCTAATTTGGCAATAATATCTGGTTCTCTTTTGGTTCTACCAGCAACATACATGGGAGAAAAAGTATTATTTGCTAACATGTATTTTCCCTCTTAAAGTGAAAGGCTATTTCTTTTTTTTTTTTTTTTTAGTTCTTTTATTGGTACATTTTAGGCATACAATTCATTTACATTTATCATTGCGTGTTTGTACCTGTACATGATGTGTCTTGGTTCTTATTTTTTTTTCCCCATTACCTCTGCACCCTTCACCCCCTCTGCCCTTCCCTATTTACATAGCTTTCATTTCCATTTTTTTTCTTTTCTCATAATTTTTCCTTTCTCTCTTTTCCTTTCCCCTTCCCCTCCCTTCACTCCTTCGTCTTTGGACCTTTTTTCCTATTTCAAATTATCAATTATTCATTTTAATCATTTTAACCCTTGTTTACACTTTCAGTTTCTCACACTAGT